AAAGCTTTTCAATCAAACTTTTCCCAACATTGTAACTTTGTAAACATTTGAAGCGGTCACGTTACATTGTAACATAGGAGCCCTTATCTGATAGCAGATCACAAGTCTGGCATCCATTGAACTTGGGAGTTTTTGGACAGTTTCTGCTTGAATTTGTTTGCAAGATGTCAGAATAGCCTCCCAGAGCTGCTGTTTGGATGTAAACTGCCTCCCGCCCTCATAGATCTTTTGCTTGAGGATGCTCCAAAGGTTCTCAATAGGATTGAGGTCAGGGGAGGATGGAGGCCACACCATGACTTTCTCTCCTTTTATCCCCATAGCAGCCATTGATGCAGAGGTATTCTTTGCAGCATGAGATGGTGCATTGTCATGCATGAAGATGATTTTATTACGGAAAGCATAGTTCTTCCTTCTGTACCAGGGAAGAAAGTGGTCAGTCATAAACTCCACATACCGTATTTGCCGGCGTATAAGACGACTGGGCGTATAAGACGACCCCCCTACTTCTCCTGCTAAAATTTAGTGTTTGAGCTATACTCGCCGTATAAGACTACCCCTCTTCCAATGCACACCAGTGGCAGGAATAGTGCCCCATCATTGGTATCAGTGGCAGGAATAGTGCCCCATCATTGGTATCAGTGGCAGGAATAGTGCCCCATCATTGGTGTCAGTGGAAGGAATAGTGCCCCATCATTGGTGTCAGTGGAAGGAATAGTGCCCCATCATTGGTATCAGTGGGAGGAATAGTGCCCCATCATTGGTATCAGTGGCAGGAATAGTGCCCCATCATTGGCATTAGTGGCAGGAATAGTGCCCCATCATTGGTGTCAGTGGGAGGAATAGTGCCCCATCATTAGTATCAGTGGGGGGGAATAGTGCCCCATCATTGGTATCAGTGGCAGGAATAGTGCCCCATCATTAGTATCAGTGGGGGGAATAGTGCCCCATCATTGGTGTCAGTGGGAGGAATAGTGCCCCATCATTGGTATCAGTGGGGGGAATAGTGCCCCATCATTGGTGTCAGTGGGAGGAATGGTGTCCCAACATTGGTGTCAGTGGGAGGAATGGTGTCCCATCATTGGTGTCAGTGGGGGGTGGAATAGTGCCCCATCATTGGTGTCAGTGGGGGGGGGGGAATAGTGCCCTAATCGTTGATGTCAGTGGGGGGGGAGGAATAGTGCCCCATCGTTGGTGTCAGTGGGGGGGAGGAATAGTGCCCCATCGTTGGTGTCAGTGGGGGGGAGGAATAGTGCCCCATCGTTGGTGTCAGTGGGAGGAAAGGTGCCCCATCGTTGGTGTCAGTGGGAGGAATAGTGCCCCATCATTGGTATCAGTGGGAGGAATAGTGCTCCATCATTGGTATCAGTGACACCAATGATGGGGCACTATTCCTCCCACTGACACTTGCTGACCCTGTTCTCGTATGGTGCTGCTGCAGCCAGCATATGTGGTTGCAGCAGCACCTCTACACTGACCACTTACCTGCTGGTCCTGCACTCGATTTTCGCGGGGGCCGCTAGGCTCCACCCCCCTCGCCGGTGATTGGCCGCCTGTGTGCCTTTCCTGAGCTACAGTTCTGGCGGCCAATCACTGGTGAGGAGGCGGAGCCGAGCAGCCGCACGAACATCCAGTGGCCGAACTGAAGGCGCAGCCGCGCTTCCTGGACCGGATCGTCATGGGACCGGAACCAGGTAAGAAACAGCCGCTGCCCACTCCTGTACTTAGTGTCCCTTCCATTGGGGCGTTGCCGCCGCCGCCCCCCTAAAAAGTGTCAGTATGCCGTATACCGGCGTATAAGACGACCCCCGACTTTTGAGAAGATTTTTAAGGGGTAAAAAGTCGTCTTATACGCTTCGGCAAATACGGTACTTTGCAGAGGTCATCTCTTTACACCTTCGGGGCCCAAAAAGGGGCTGACCAGCTCTGTTCTCATGATTCCGGCCCAAAACATGACTCCACCACCGCCCTTGCTGACGTTGCAGCCTTGTTGGAACAGGGTGGCCGTCCACCAACCATCCACTACTCCATCCATCTGGACCATCCAGGGTTGCACGGCACTCATCAGTGAACAGGACTGTTTGAAAATAGTCTTCATGTATTTTTCTGCCCAATGCAGCCATTTCTGCTTGTGAGCAGGTTTTGGTTACAGTAAGGGTGTACAGTAAGGCTGGGTGTACGTAAATGGGTGTACAGAAGGATCGATGTAAGGCTGGGTGTACAGTAAGGCCTGGGTGTACAGTAAGGATCGTGTACAGTAAGGATCGATGTACAGTAAGGCTGGGTGTACAGTAAGGTGTACAGTAGAAGTGTACAGTAAGGATCGATGTACAGTAAATCGATGTACAGTAAGGCTGGGTGTACAGTAAGGGATGTACAGTAAGGCAGGGTGTACAGTATGTACAGTAAAGGATGTACAGTGGGATTGATGTACAGTAAGGATGGGTGGTAAGGCTGGGTGTACAGTAAGGATCGATGTACAGTAAGTACAGTAAGGATCGATGTGTACAGTAAGCTACAGTAGGATGTACAGTAGGTGTCGATGTACAGTAAGGCTGGGTGTACAGTAAGGTGTACAGTAGGCTGGGTGTAACAGTAGAGATCCCGTGTACAGTAGTAAAATCGATGTACAGTAAGGCTGGGGTGTACAGTAAGGATCGATGTACAGTAAGGCTGGTACAGAAAGTGTACAGTAAGGATTGTACAGTAATGTACAGGCTGGGTTTACAGTAAGGCTGGATGTACAGATCCGTGTACAGTAAGATGTACAGTAAGGGTGTACAGTAAGGATCGATGTACAGTAAGGCTGGGTGTACAGTAAGGATCTGATGTACAGTAAGGCTGGGTGTACAGTAAGGATTGATGTACAGTAAGGCTGGGTGATGTACAGTTAGGCTGGGTGTACAGTAAGGATCGATGTACAGTAAGGCTGGGGTGTACAGTAAGGATCGATGTACAGTAAGGCTGGGCTGTGTACAGTAAGGATCGATGTGTACATGGGTGCTGGGTGTACAGTAAGGATCGATGTAACAGTACAGGATCGATGTAAGGATCGATGTACAGTAAGGCTGGGTGTACAGTAAGTACAGTAAGGATTGATGTACAGTAAGATGTACAGTAAGTACAGTGGGTGTACAGTAGGATCCGTGTACAGTAAGGATCGATGTACAGTAAGGCTGGTGTACTAGGGGTGTACAGTAAGGATCGATGTACAGTAAGGATCTGTGATGTACAGTAGAGATCCAGTAAGGTCGATGTATGTACTGGGTGTACAGTAAGGGATCGATGTACAGTAAGGCTGGGTGTACAGTAAGGATCGATGTACAGTAAGGCTGGGTCGATGTACAGTAAGGTGGGTGTACAGTAAGGATCGTGTACAGTAAGGACGATGTACATAAGGCGATGTACAGTAAGGTGTACAGTAAGGATCGATGTACAGTAAGGTACATAAGGCTGGGTGTACAGTAAGGATCGATGTACAGTAAGGCTGGGTGTACAGTAAGGATCGATGTACAGTAAGGCTGGGTGTACAGTAAGGATCGATGTACAGTAAAGGATCGATGTGTACAGTAAGGATCGATGTACAGTAAGGCTGGGTGTACAGTAAGGATCGATGTACAGTAAGGCTGGGTGTACAGTAAGGATCGATGATGTACAGTAAGGCTGGGTGTACAGTAAGGATCGATGTACAGTAAGGATCTAAGGATTGTACAGTGTACAGTAAGGCTGGGTGTACAGTAAGGATCGATGTACAGTAAGGATCTGGGTGTACAGTAAGGATCGATGTACAGTAAGGATCGATGTACAGTAAGTCTGGGTGTACAGTAAGGATCGATGTACAGTAAGGCTAGGTGTACAGTAAGGATTGATGTACAGTAAGGATCGATGTACAGTAAGGATCGATGTACAGTAAGGCTGGGTGTACAGTAAGGATCGATGTACAGTAAGGCTGGGTGTACAGTAAGGATCGATGTACAGTAAGGATCGATGTACAGTAAGTCTGGGTGTACAGTAAGGATCGATGTACAGTAAGGCTGGGTGTACAGTAAGGATCGATGTACAGTAAGGCTGGGTGTACAGTAAGGATCGATGCTGGGTGTACAGTAGGAGGCTAGGCTAGGTGTACACTAGGCCAAATCTGACATTTGTATAGCATTTGACACAGTGAAAGCACGCTTGCGTTTGTTCTGTGCGAATGGGGCAGAAAACAAATGTTATTAGGCTTTTTCTTTGCTGGGTCGATTGTTTTTCATTGACTTAAATTGATAATAAATGAAACAAAAAAATTAAAAAATCCAGTCCCCTGAAAGTAAATGTCAGTGTACTAGTATGCGTCTCATAGTAACACATTCCGAAAGACGGTCCTTAAAACTTGGCCCTCCAGTGTCAGGCGGTCACCAATGTCAGGGCTTAAATCTTCACCTGATCTTCCTTCCAGGCTCGTGGGCTCCGGCTATATGAAAGGCCAAGGCGTGATGACGTCTCTCCCATGCATACGTACAGGAGTCACGGCTGCAGCACAGAGCTCTGAAGGGACGGCAGGAATATGTGACCCCTTCAGAGTGTATGGTGTCACCAGCTGCAGGAATTGTGAATATCTCCTGAACAGTGCAGGCTGTGCAGATACGTCTTGTACCTACAGGGTAGGTGGATTATAATCTTAGCTGCAGCTACAAGCGTCCCACAGATGCTCACTGTCGCTCCAAGATGGAAAATATCACTTTTTATGACACGTCGCTCCAGCTAGTGGCTGGATGTGGTATTGCCTGCTATAACTAGGTGGTTATTACTTCTGAAAATGCTTCCATCTGCTTTTATCCCCATGATGCCTCATCTGTGTTCAAATGCCTTACAGGCCCCTGTGCATGCAATTCCAGCTGTTTAGTGTGTGAGCACTGTCCCCCTTTATATCAGGATTCCACATCAGAGTCCTGCTTTACATTATGACTTCTCAGCAGAGTCCCCCTTTACATCAGGCTCCCATCAGAGTTCCTCCTTACATCAGGTGTCCCTATCAGAGTTCTCCTCCTTACATCAGGTGTCCCCATCAGAGTTCCTCCTTACATCAGGTGTCCCCATCAGAGTTCCTCCTTACATCAGGTGTCCCCATCAGAGTTCCTCCTTACATCAGGTGTCCCCATCAGAGTTCCTCCTTACATCAGGGTCCCATCAGAGTTCCTCCTTACATCAAGTGTCACTATCAGAGTTCCTCCTTACATCAGGGTCCCATCAGAGTTCCTCCTTACATCAAGTGTCACTATCAGAGTTCCTCCTTACATCAGGGTCCCATCAGAGTTCCTCCTTACATCAGGTGTCCCCATCAGAGTTCCTCCTTACATCAGGTGTCCCCATCAGAGTTCCTCCTTACATCAGGTGTCCCCATCAGAGTTCCTCCTTACATCAGGTGTCCCCATCAGAGTTCCTCCTTACATCAAGTGTCACTATCAGAGTTCCTCCTTACATCAGGGTCCCATCAGAGTTCCTCCTTACATCAGGGTCACCATCAGAGTTCCTCCTTACATCAAGTGTCACTATCAGAGTTCCTCCTTACATCAGGGTCACCATCAGAGTTCCTCCTTACATCAAGTGTCACTATCAGAGTTCCTCCTTACATCAGGTGTCCCCATCAGAGTTCCTCCTTACATCAAGTGTCACTATCAGAGTTCCTCCTTACATCAGGGTCCCATCAGAGTTCCTCCTTACATCAGGTGTCCCATCAGAGTACCTCCTTACATCAGGGTGCCCCTTTTCATCAGGATCCCCATCAGAGTGCCCCCTTACATCAGGATCCCCATCAGAGTGCCCCCCTACATCAGGATCCCCATCAGAGTGCCTCCTTACATCAGGTGTCCCCATCAGAGTTCCTCCTTACATCAGGGTCACCATCAGAGTTCCTCCTTACATCAAGTGTCACTATCAGAGTTCCTCCTTACATCAGGGTCCCATCAGAGTTCCTCCTTACATCAGGGTCACCATCAGAGTTCCTCCTTACATCAGGGTCCCATCAGAGTCCTCCTTACATCAGGGTCCCATCAGAGTTCCTCCTTACATCAGGGTCACCATCAGAGTTCCTCCTTACATCAAGTGTCACTATCAGAGTTCCTCCTTACATCAGGTGTCCCCATCAGAGTTCCTCCTTACATCAGATGTCACCATCAGAGTTCCTCCTTACATCAGGTGTCACCATCAGAGTTCCTCCTTACATCAGGGTCCCATCAGAAGAATTTGGAAGAATAAATCCCCTCTAATGTTGGGTTTCCTCCATGTGTGGGTGTTGCTGCATTATGTAAAAACTATCAGAATAGTTTTTTATATTAGAAGGTGTTTCTGGACTGTCCATAATTCTAAAGAGTGCCTCGGGACTGTCCATAATTCTAAAGAGTGCCTCGGGACTGTCCATAATTCTAAAGAGTGCCTCGGGACTGTCCATAATTCTAAAGAGTGCCTCGGGACTGTCCATAATTCTAAAGGGTGCCTCAGGACTGTCCATAATTCTAAAGGGTGCCTCAGGACTGTCCATAATTCTAAAGGGTGCCTCAGGACTGTCCATAATTCTAAAGGGTGCCTCAGGACTGTCCATAATTCTAAAGGGTGCCTCGGGACTATCCATAAATTTCGAGGGTGCCTCGAGACTGTCCATTATTTTAGAGGATGCCTCGGGACTGTCCATAATTCTAAAGGGTGTCTCAGGACTGTCCATAATTTTAGAGGGTGCCTCGGGACTGTCCGTAATTCTAAAGGGTGTCTCGGGACTGTCCATAATTCTAGAAGGTGCCTTGACTGAAAAAGGGTTGAGAAACACTGGTGTAGAAGCGGCATAGAAGTGCTGTAGTAACGGTGTAGAAGCGGCATAGAAGTGGTGTAGAAGCGGTGTAGAAGTGGCGTAGAAGCGGTGTAGAAGCGGCATAGTAGCGGTGGTGGAAGCGCTGTAGAAGCGGCGTAGATGCGGTGTAGAAGCAGCGTAGAAGTGGCATAGAAGTGGTATAGAAGCGGTGTGGAAGCGCTGTAGAAGCGGTGTAGAAGCGGCGTAGAAGTGGCATAGAAGCGGTGTAGAAGCGCTGTAGAAGCGGCGTAGAAGAGGCATAGAAGTGGTGTAGAAGTGGTGTAGTAGCGGTGGAGAAAGCGGCATAGAAGCGGTGTAGAAGCGGCATAGAAACGGTGTAGTAGCGGTGGAGAAAGCGGCATAGAAGCGGTGTAGTAGCGGTGTAGAAGCGGCATATAAGCGGTGTAGTAGCAGTGGAGAAAGCGGCATAGAAGCGGTGTAGAAGCGGTGTAGTAGCGGTGTAGAAGCGGCATAGAAGCGGTGTAGTAGCGGTGGAGAAAGCGGCATAGAAGCGGTGTAGTAGCGGTATAGAAGCGGTGTAGTAGCGGTGGAGAAAGCGGCATAGAAGCGGTGTAGTAGCGGTGGAGAAAGCGGCATAGAAGCGGTGGAGAAAGCGGCATAGAAGCGGTGTAGAAGCGGTGTAGTAGCGGTGTAGAAGCGGCATAGAAGCGGTGTAGAAGCGGTGTAGTAGCGGTGTAGAAGCGCTGTAGAAGCGCTGTAGAAACGCTGTAGAAGCGGTACCTAATACAGTGATTTCCAGCTTCCATAGGTGTAGGCTGGTCCTAGCTGGACGTAAGAATTGTGATACCTGGAATTCACCATGAAAGCTGCCCCCGTGTGTCCCCTAGGAAGGGTTTGCTGTCATTTCCCTTCATCTTTTGGAATGACTACTCTTAGATTCAGTTGTCATTTGGAGAAGACTTTACATGAGGGCCATCACACTCTTCCAATGTGCACTCCTTCTCTCCTGAGGATGCCAGGAGCTGCACTGTGCAGGACTGTCAGCATGCAGTTAGTGTGGTCATGGTGATTGTTTCATACACGGGACACACAGCCGTCCATCTGTACGCAGATTGTTTATGGCAAAAATGTGAAATTGTGGTTGGACCCTAAAAAACAGAAACAGCTAACTACATCCAATGGAGTGTATAAATGGGGGCAGCAAACATTGTACAAGAAATGGTCCCCAAACTGCGGCCCCTAGAGGGCTACATTCAGCCTGCAGCTAGGGTCAGGGTACCCCTCTGTGTTCTCTGTCTCCAGGTTGGTTGCCCTGCTGGTCCAATGACTACAGCCACACTGCCAGCAAGGTAAGGGCAGGCCATTGATAGGGAATATGATGTAAAGGGTGACTCTAATGGGGGGGTCGTGATATAAAGAAGGACTCCCAAGGTGGACTGTGATGTAATGGAGGCCCTGATGGGGACTCTAATAGGAACCCTGATTGAAGGGGGGACTCTGATGGGACCTTGATGTGGGGGTGGACTTGAATGTAAGGGAGAACTCTGATGGGGTCTTGATGTAAGAGGGGACTGTGATGGGGACCATGATGTGGGGTAGACTCTAATGTAAGGGGTGGACTCTGATGTAATGGGAAACCTGATGGGGACATTGATGTAAGGCGGGACTCTGATGTAAGAAGAAACCTGATGGGGACATTGATGTAGGTGGGGACTCTGATGTAAAAAGAAACCTGATGGAGACATTGATGTGAGGGGGGACTCTGATGTAAGAAGAAACCTGATGGGGACATTGATGTGAGGGGGGACTCTGATGTAAGAAGAAACCTGATGGGGACATTGATGTGAGGGGGGACTCTGATGTAAGAAGAAACCTGATGGGGACATTGATGTAGGTGGGGACTCTGATGTAAAAAGAAACCTGATGGAGACATTGATGTGAGGGGGGACTCTGTTGTAAGAAGAAACCTGATGGGGACATTGATGTGAGGGGGGACTCTGTTGTAAGAAGAAACCTGATGGGGACATTGATGTGAGGGGGGACTCTGATGTAAGGGTGGATTAGTTTTTTATTTTACTGGAATTCTTTTGTTCTAAATCACTTGATGCTGCTTCCAGAAAGAAAAAGGAAAATGTATTATTTATTGTACATTTATAAAACCGATGTAAGGGGAGACTCTGATGGAGACTGTCATAGGAATCCTGATGTAAGGGGAGACTGCTAAGGTGGACTCTGATGTATGAGGCGAAACTCTGATGTGGGGGGGGAACTCTCCTCTCCTCTTCTCCATTTCTCCTCATTTCTCCTCTCCTCTCGCTGTAACGAAGCTCAATTCCTCCTCTCCTCTCCTCCATTTCTCCTCTCCTCCATTCCTCCTCTCCTCCATTCCTCCTCTCCTCCATTTCTCCTCTCCTCTCCTCCATTTCTCCTCTCCTCCATTCCTCTCTCTCCTCCATTCCTCCTCTCCTCTCCTCCATTTCTCCTCTCCTCCATTCCTCCTCTCCTCTCCTCCATTTCTCCTCTCCTCCATTCCTCCTCTCCTCTCTTCCATTTTCTCCTCTCTTCCATTTCTCCTCTCTTCCATTTCTCCTCTCTTCCATTTCTCCTCTCCTCCATTCCTCCTCTCCTCCATTTCTCCCCTCCTCCCATTTCTCCTCTCCTCCATTTCTCCTCTCCTCTCCATTTCTGCTCTCCTCCATTTCTGCTCTCCTCCAATTCTGCTCTCCTCCAATTCTGCTCTCCTCCATCTCTGCTCTCCTCCATTTCTCCCCTCCTCCATTTCTCCCCTCCTCCATTTCTCCCCTCCTCCATTTCTCCCCTCCTCCATTTCTCCTCTCCTCCATTTCTCCTCTCCTCCATTTCTCCTCTCCTCTCCATTTCTGCTCTCCTCCATTTCTGCTCTCCTCCAATTCTGCTCTCCTCCAATTCTGCTCTCCTCCATTTCTCCTCTCCTCCATTCCTCCTCTCCTCTCCATTTATGCTCTCCTCTCCTCCATTTCTCCTCTCCTTCATTCCTCCTCTCCTCTCCATTTCTCCTCTCCATTTCTCCTCTCCTCCATTCCTCCTCTCCTCTCCATTTCTCCTCTCCTCCATTCCTCTCCATTTATCCTCTCCTCTCCTCCATTTCTCCTCTCCTTCATTCCTCCTCTCCTCTCCATTTATCCTCTCCTCTCCTCCATTTCTCCTCTCCTTCATTCCTCCTCTCCTCTCCTCTCCATTTCTCCTCTCCTCTCCTCCATTTCTCCTCTCCTCCATTCCTCCTCTCCTCTCTATTTCTCCCCTCCTCCTCCTCTCCTCTCCTCCATTCCTCCTCTCCTCCTCCTCTCCTCTCCTCCATTCCTCCTCTTCCTAGCAATGTTTCCTTATGATGGCCAGCTCGGTCGCTCTTCCTGCACTGTTGGGGGTTGCTGTTCAGTAACTGTAAGAAATGACATCACAGCCCCTTTCCAGCCTAACCCTCCTCAGCTGTGTGATGGAGACGAGATATTGAATTGTAAATCCGAGGCGTACAAAGCTCCGGCACAGAACATTGAAACCTTTTCTCCCCATCCGCGGCTTCTGCTAAATTGCTTCCGGAAGAGTTTCCCTGACATCTTTCATTGTGTTTATCTATGTGGCGGCGGCAGAGACGGCGTGCTGTAACCTCGCCGATGTTCTGGAAGATGCCGGAGCCGTCCCTTGTAATGTAATGCATATGTAATAAAATGGAGTCGCTGCTGTTTGGGGCCCAGGATCCCATCGCTCTGCACTCGGCGCCGGTGATTACAATGAAGGTCACCTCTCCCATTTAAATACAAATGGAACAATCACAACATTGATATAAAATATGTCGGCCTTCTGAGGCGGCAAGGTGATTACTAAGCAGGCTTTGTGCTTCTATGGTGTTCACGACTGCAAGCAGATTCCTCCAAGAGACAGTCTCCAGAATCCGGCACAGACCCAATCACACATTTGGGCGCATTTATCAAATGTTTGCACAGCTGCTCGCCCTTCAAAACGGCACGAACATTCGCTCTGTACGAGCGAGGCAAAATCAAATGTTCTCAAGCTTTATCCTCCACAAATCAAATGTGTGAAAAAAAGGAAAATACCTAATTATGGCCACCTGATGGCACCGAGGAGCATACTTATTTGCTATTGTACTCAGTGCCATCTAGTGGCCATAATTATGTTTTTTTAAGTTCACACATTTAAAGCGGAGCTCCAACTAAAAGGGGAAGTTCCGTTTTAAGGACTGCTCCCCCGCTCCCCATTAAGGATTGGCACCTTTGGGGGGCAGGTACATGAATTTGATAGGTACCCACTCCCTTTTCCGGTTTGATTGCCTAGGCGATCGGAAACGGAAGGCGTCCTCCCTCCCTCCCTGTAGTCTTTTGGGACGCGTGACAGGTCCCAGAAGACTACGAGACCATTCACAAAGCGCAGTGCTTCTTGCACATGCGCAGTGGGTACCTGGCTGTGAAGCCACAAGCTATCACAGCCGGGTGCCCACACTGAAGATGCTGGCCTCCTGGAATACAGGACTGCCGGTGAAACGGGCTGCGGGGGACACACTGCGGGACAGGTAAGTGGCTGTTTTTTAAAAGTCAGCAGGTACAGTTTTTGTAGCTGCTGACTTTTATTTTTTGACAGGTGAGTGGAACTTCGCTTTAACCCCTTGATGCCGACGGCACACAAATATGCGGCCTCATGGAACTTGGCTTTTTTCAGTGGGGCTGCATATTTGTGTACTTGCCTTTGTGTTGGGAGCGCGCCACTTGGTGTGCTCCCAGCACAGAGACCGTGGTGTCACTGAGAGCCCCAGGTCACGTGATCACTGTGATAGCCTCTGATTGGCTATCACAATGATCAGTCACTGTGCAGCCCGGCCCCCTTGTTTTTTTTCTCTCTCTACTGTATGAATGGAGAAGAGAGATACATTGTATCATTATATACATCATATTATACATTTTATCATTATATACATTCCA